GAAGGTAAGAATACAAACATACCACAGGTATTGCAGGTGACGGCTGCAAAAGGCCTTCTGCCTGGTACACACCAGTTTATTTACTGATAAGAGATTTTGGTATGTGGTTGGCATGGCAGCATGGTAACTTAAGTATATTATAATGTATTGTGAAATCTGTATTCTCATTGCTCAGGCTTTTGTGTGTTTAAAGTTTAGAGCATCCAATAGAATGTTAGCTTTGAATTTCTTTGTCTGTGAGTGCATAAAACTACGGCCATCTTGGTTCGTCCTTGGCCCAATGATCTGAATGCTAATTCCATTGGGACTGCCGGCATAATAAACCTATGTTTTTAAACTATTTTGGTCCTCTGTTTTGCATCAAGCTCTGCAAAGAATAAATAATAATAATAATAATAATAATAATAATAATAATAATAATATATTTTATTTTATTTATATACCGTCCCAGTGGAAACCCATGGATGCTGGGAGTTAATTTGCAACATTTGGTTTTTCTACTACATGCTTTGATTGAGAGTTCCTGCATGGAAGAATGGGGTTGGACTGGATGGCCCCTGGGGTCTCTTCCAACTCTATGGACATTATCACACGGGGAGTCGTGGGGAGAAAGTGGAAAAAAATGGGCACGAGTGGAAGTCTTTAATTTACGGGATTTGTCCTGTTCCGCCTTGTCTGATAACTAAATTCGAATTTAAAAGGGGGTTAATTCGAACGAAAACCTGATCTTTTCATTTTTGGGATTTTTGAGGATTTGAAAAGATCAGGTTTTTGTTTGAATTAACCCCCTTTTAAATTCAAATTTAGTTATCAGATGAGGCAGAACGGGACAAATCCCGTAAATTAACGTCTTCCGCTCATCCCGTTTATTTCCACTTTCTCCCCACAACTCCCCGTGTGATAACGTCCATTGATTCTATGATCTTACTTAATTCTTGAGTTCTTGTGTGTATGAGTGAATATCTTTGTAGGCTTGAATCCCCAAATAAATTACAGTTCATTGGAAAGCTTTCTCTCTATCAGACTATTCCCTAGCCACCTCCATAAGCATTGGATAAAAGATCCTAGTAATTTCCCAGGTTCCAGTCCTTCTGACACAGCCTGTCCAAGTTATATAGATATAAGAAATGCCTCATTCAAAGATTTAGACTTGGTACCAAACAACTCTGACCCATATTTGAGCAATCTTTTATTAGGGGAAGCTTTGTAAGGATTATGGTTGGGTTACAGAATAGATGTGAACCACAACTATTTTTGAACAACTTCAGCTTTGTAAACAATGTTATATAGTTTCAGTGGATCTGGTCTTTGCGCCTATTTAGATTCATCTGAGCCTGCAAGGTTTTTGGGCTGCTTATTTTGTTTTGTAAATGATTTTAACTATGTAATGTAATGTATTATTTTTACAATGTATTTGATGCCTATTTTGTATATTTTATATGGATTACTTTTGTAATGGCAGACACTATACAAATAAACTCATTTACTTAGAAATTACACAGCCCATCAAGGTTTAAAACTTAACAAGGCTGAAACCGAAGTGCTTGTTTTTTCACCAAAACTAGCTTCACAATACACATTTTCAGTTAGAGTGAATAATATTCTCATTCATCCCATGAAGAACGGACATAGCCTTGGTTTGGTTTTTGATTCTTCTTTGTCTTTTATCCCTCAGATCCAGGCTATGGCCAAGTCTTGTCAATTTTTTTCTTTACAATCTAGCTGAAATCAGACCTTTTATTTTGGTACCTACTACTAAGACTTTGGCTCACGCCCATGTTATTTCTTGCCTTGACTACTGCATCCTTCTCTTGATGGGGCTTCCTCTGTCCCACTTCGGTCCTTTGACCTCCGTTCAACATTCTGATGCCAGGATTATCTTTTCGGGTCAAAATGATCACGACCTTGTTGATGGAAGCATTTCAGATTTCAGCTCGATATTTCAATCAGGTCAGATTAAGAGTATATTGCCACTCTATAGTTTATAGTTTTAGAGCTACTTAATGCTAATTTGTTTAATTGTTTATTTATTTATTTATTTATTAAACAATTATGTTTGTGTGATTTTAGATTGTACACCATAGGCAGGTTTTATCTTGTTTTGATGACTAGGAAAAGTGCTATGTAAATCTTACAGCACTATACAAATAAACAACAAAAACAACAATAGTAACAATGTGCCATCATAACTGGAAGTCTGTTTTCCTCATTGATAACTTTGGCCATTTTGACCACACTCTGTTGTTTGAGAAGACATGTTCCAGTTTTCAACTGTGAAATACTGGAGGGCGTGAGAAGGGATCCAGTAACTTCTGCTGCCAACGTAGGGCAGTTTCTGGTACGGTTGGGGATCTGGCAGTGGGATAATAATCTCAGACCTTAAATTTTAGGGAGATGCAGAGTGCAATGTAGTCTGAGTCAATCAACTCTATTACAATGATAGATCAGTCATCGAAAGCACAGAAGCAAAACACAGCAGAAAAACAAATTTAAAAACTCCTCCCGGGTACAAGGATTCCTGCATATATACGTCAGCAGAGGACCAGTAACCATCTTCTAAATTAGCTCCAGAGCAATAACTGCCAAGTTCCTTCCCCAGAGCAAAAGGAAATGGATCATGAGCTCTGGGCTGGTTTCATGTAAAGCCATCCATCAGTGGGAATGCTCCTATTGTATCTTCCTACATGGAAGATTGGGGTTGGAATGGATGGCCTTTGGGATCTCTCCAAACTCTTTGGACGTTATCACACGGGGAGCTCCGAACAGAAGCTGGCTTTAAAGTGAAAGTGCTACCGCAAAAGCGGAAGCAATTAATTAGCTGGCTTTCCCCGTGTGAAAACCACCTGCACATTTAAAAGGCGGTTACTCCAAACGAAGATCCCCGAAAATAAAAAGCAGCAGTTTCTGACTACTTTCTGTGTGGATTAACCTGCTTTTAAATGCGACGCCGTCTGAAAATATACCCGCTTTTGTGGGTTATTTTCAGTTTAAACCCCCGTTTCCTCACAGGATTTCCCCTGTGTGATAACGTCCTAGGATTCTAAAGCCAGCAGCTCTATCTCACCAAATCCCCACTTCCAACTACACTTATGGGGCATGCACACCCCTAAAACGGTTAACCAAATTGGGCAGACCCAGAAGGAAAAGAGCAATAGAATCATAGAATCTGAGAGTGGGAAAGCGACCCCAAAAGCCATCCAATCCAATCCCCTTGTGCCATGCAAGAAGACACAATCCAAGCCCTCCCTGTGACAGATGGCCATCCAGCCTCTGTTTGAAAAGCTCCAAAGAAGGAAAATCTACCTTTCCCCAAGGCAGCATCTTTCACTATCCTCAAAAGGAGACCGCTCTGATGCCATCGCTCTGTGTCTGACAAATCCCAATATTCCATAGCATGAGAAGCGGTATCAAATTGCATTATTTCTGTAGTGTGGTGGCAGCCCTTGTTGCAGGAACCTGCTATAATCTGTAAATAAGTTGCTATAAACTTCTGGAGCAGGGTTTATGGCCTCCTGAAGGGAAAAAACATTATTATCTGAGAGGCGAGTGTTTTCCCCTGGAAATGTTGTGCATCTTTCTGCCTTCACAGGGGTAGGCAACTTTCACCTACCTGGGGCTGGTCCACTGGTCCGGAGCTCTTCCACAGGCTGGGGGGGGG